TCGCCTAAATTCACTACGTTCAATTACCCACCATAGACTCCGGTCAGTCAAAATGACTATGACCGAGAAAAATATCAGTACCGCCACTGTCGGGCCTCTTACTCGACGTCCCGGTACAAGAAGTACCGGTAGCCGAGCATGAGGACTTTCCACTCATGCAAAACATGCAACTCACTTTAACCGATTTGTTTACTGGACGCGCGACCTTGCTGTGACGCGGTCAGTCTCAGCGATTTTGATGGCTCTGAAAGAAAATTTCAGGCCTCAGAACTCCAGTGAAAAAAACGCGCTCCCACGCAAAAACCCCGAAACCCGCACGTAGCCACGACAAAGTATCTCGGATGCGGGTTCTATGCTGGTAAATTCTGAATATAACCACTGCACGGTCGACTCGAAACACGAGGAGACCGGAAAGAAAACGGCAGCAAGCCCTGGTGCTGTCAATACATGTATATATTGCTAAATACATTGAAAACAAGTCATTGTTAATGACACAGTCCCCGTCCCAAATTTTGTGATCTGACATATCAATTTGATGCTGATGAAATCATTGAGATTAGATTGAAACCATTAATAGGATATGGGTTTGTAAAAAATTATGATTTAGTACTTTTACACAAGAATTGGACATTGGGCAGTCATATTGAATCAAATTACAAAAAACAATACAACAGATTGTTTATTTACATCAAAACACGTGTTCCGTGTAGTAGTAATATGGCAAAAAATAAAAACAGCTGTTATTTGGCCATGTTTGATCTGATTATGAAACACACTGATATGTATGATGTATGTGCCAAATACGAATGAAAATGGTACATAAATTGTGGAAATATAGTAGCAAGGCCAAAAAGTCAGATTGCTATCAATCGGCCATCCTTGACTAGATTTTGAAACAAATTGTTATGGACATGCATCCTAACATGTATAAAGTACATGTATGTGCCAAATTTGAATGAAAACTGACAGAGCACTTCCAAGATACTGCATAAAAAAAACAACAAGATGCCTGCCAGTCGACCATCTTTGATCCAATTGCGAAATAAATTGTACTGGACATGTAACCTAACATGTATAATATATGTACCAAGTTTGAATGACAACTGACAAAGCATGTCCAAAATACAACATTTTCAAAAAACAAGATGGCTGCCAGTCGGCCATTTTGAATCGAATCGCTAAACCACTGCATGTGCATATGTCCCACATAAGGTAATAGGCACATGCAAAGAATGAATGGAATCGGTCCACAGGATTCTGAAATATTACTATTGACAGACTGACGCACGAATGGACGGACAGACAGACTCAGGAACTCACGCATGGTCGGGGACATGTATCCTAACATGTATGATCGGTGTACTAAATTTGAATGAAAACTGACAAAGCATGTCCAAAATACAACATTTTCAAAAAACAAGATGGCTGCCAGTCGGCCATCTTTGATCCAATTGTGAAATAAATCGTCATGGACAAGTATCCTAACATGTATAATCTATGTACCAAATTTGAATGAAAACTGACAAAGCATGTCCAAAATACAACATTTTCAAAAAACAAAATGGCTGCCAGTCAGCCATTTTGAATCGAATCGCTAAACCACTGCATGTGCATATGTCCCAGATAAAGTACTAGGCACATGCAAAGAATGAACAAAATCGGTCCAAGGGATTCTGAGATATGACTCCGGACGGATGCACGGATGCACAGACACACAGACGCACGGACGCACGGACGGAGACCGAATTATAAGTCCCTGTTTTTGGACTTCGTCCGAACGGGGAGTAATAAAAGACGACAGTTGTAAAAGGTGCTGCCATGAAAACCAACTGGTTACGTAGTGGCGCCGGATTTTAATTTCTTTGTTGTGAAAAATACTACACACAAAGGGGAAAACGACACGAGGGTAAAAATGACAAGGAAAACTTATCCTACCCGCTACAATGTCGGATGCCGTGCAGCGGCAACAACCCAAGCTATAAATCCGGACAGGAAAAAAAAAGCAGGCAATCCAGGAGAGCTCGCTAGATTTCATCTCCACTCGAGGCGAAGAGAAATTCAGAGTGATGGACGGCTACCTGTGGCTCTGCCAGGTGGCCTCGGTCACGTGGGTTCGTGACGTAAGGGGTAAAAGAATCTTGAGGTCATGGGGCTTCCCCTGACGTGGATTCTATCTCTCCGTCACCAGCAGAATCGCTGATTAATGCCTACAGTTCAAAATAGTCATTTTGACTGACCGGAGTCTATGGTGGGTAATTGAACGTAGTGTATTTTAGTATTAACAAAGTGCAAAGTAAATATGTCTATTAATGTCTGATATCTGTCAAATCTATCATCAAATTACTGTGATAAAATCAATAGAAATAGATTGTGGTGTGTAACACCTACAACACTCGACAGAGAAAACCAAATACATAGAAATTCTAGCCCATATATGTCAATTTGAAGTGGAAAAAAGTAAGTGAATATAATTGGCTAGAACAATGCGTTTTCTCAGGCTTGTCATGTATACTGATTTCGCATAAAGCAAGGAATGGGAAGTTTGCCAAGAAGACATATTCAGACTGTTGTTTCATGTTAGAAATTTTCATTAAAAGATGATTGGAGTGTATATTTCCTATAATATGCATTGACCAGTATATGTAGTGAAAGCTTAAAACTTATGCAAATCAGGTAATTAATATGTACATATTTTAGTGTAAAACTAATAAGGTCTACGAAATGTTCGACCATCTATGTACCCAGTTTCACTGAAATGTGATTAGAACCCAAAAATTATGAGTTATTGTGCAATTTAGAGAATTAATATGCACAGATTTTAACCAAAACCTAATCACATCTGTGCATTGTTCTAAAGCATCATTGTACCAAGTTTCATTGAAATAATTAGTAATGTGATATCGGTGTAAAGGGGCCCCTATCCTGTGTATAGCACCTTTTGTAAGCAAACTATCCACCTTCTGTCGGATTGCTCTCGCTATGGGGGGGGGTGTAGAATTCGGTAGCTTCTACCTCCAACCAAACATATGCCCATCCCCCTCATTGCAAGCAGAAGCATCAAACCTGCTTTCCCTGCGAGCTGGGTAGGCGACCTCAGCGAAAGAGGGGGGACCACCACCTGGTCTCTTCTTCCTAGGGGGCGCGACGCCATTCTTCCTTCCCCCGGAAGAGCCGGGACGATTGCCTCCTGGCTACTTCTGGCCAGTGGGTGCCGACTTTGGTCGTTACGTTTTCTCAGCTTGGGGTCCTTACCGCTTTCCCTTGGCAGAAGCCAAACTGGCTCGCAGGTCTCACCTGTACCGACTGGTCAGTAGAATCCCGAAGCACTGAGACTGCTCCTTCCATCCTCAAAAAAAAGAGGGTGGGGGAGGTCCAGCCAGCATAACTGAGGCGGTGGTGCCCCAGCCAAAACAGCATTCTGCTGTACAGAGGCAGCCCCTGCCACGAGAGCCAGATAACACTGCAGGATATCCCACGTTGCTGTGTGGTGTCCCACCAACGGCTGTGTCTGCTGGTCTAGGAGGCTGGTGCGTTCCGCTATTGAGACTTCAGTGGGCTGGCCACAACTCGAAGGTTGAGGGTTGCCACTCTGCTCTCAGTGCGTGGATTGTTTCCGACTAACTGGTCGAAATATTTCATAAACACGGCCACCCCTTTTGCCCGTCCCACCGTACCAAACAATTCGTGGTACCAGGTCGGGGGAGGAACCGAAGGACTCGATCAGGGCGCCAGATTTGACTCAAGAGTCTGTTGGCTTAGGTCTCAAACACCGCTTGATCGGGTAGTGCTTGGTCCAGTGGAAAAGGTTGAGCATAAAATTGCCCTACCCCAAGGACTTAGGCATATATCACACGGAGGACCGAGGTCTGCCCATTAACACCGTCTGTGCTTTACCCCCTACATCAAGTAAAATGTCAATGTACAAATCCCTGCCCTGTTTGGTCCCCTTCGAAATTGGAGGCCTGATCACCTTGTAAGGCAGTGCACACAAAAAGGCAACACGGAGAAAGACTTATCCCACCAGCCACAGCGCCGGCTGCCACGCAGGTGACAGCTAGTCCGACCAAAAACTTGGACAGGAAAAAATCTGATGAGCTGATCGCACTGTTTTTATCGGATACCTCACTCGGCACAGAGATAAACGAGAGCCAATATGGTGCCGCCTCATTGCCTCGGTCACATGGTTCGTGACGCAAGGGGAAAATCTTGAGGTCATGGGGCTTTCCCTTATCTAGATTTAAAATGACTATTTTGAACTGTAGGCATTAATCAGCGATTCTGCCAATGACGGAGAGATAGAATCTAGGTCAGGGGAAGCCCCATGACCCCAAGATTCTCTTTCCCTTTCGTCACGAACCACGTAACTGAGGTAATGTGGCGTCGCCATCTTGACCTGATATTCTGGTTCCTTTCTCTCCGCACCGTTTTGAACTGTAGGCAGACGCCGATAGCTGGTCGGTTTTCCGAGCAAACAGTTCGGGATGATACACTTTACAACTACCATTCATCACCTAGCTAAGACCCCAAAAGAGGGTGGTGTCTTACCCGGAGCGAAAGCCACGATGACAGGGTTCGGTGTGCCCGAGAAAGCTAGACCCAAAACCCAATTCTGGCAGTAGTATGCTTTCGAAGTAAAGACCGAAACAGTTCTGCATGAGGACATAGGCCAAAATCGAGTGCTGATGGTAGAGATCGATGATACTCCGCATCACCCTAATGGCGAGGCTCACCAGGTCGTTATGGATTCTGAGGTACCATCCGATGTACCGGCTGTATATATAAATATGTGAGCGAGAGCGTGTTCGACTGTGTGCGTCTCATGACAGGGTCGGTTCCCTCTGGGGACGCCCGTGGGGCGGCAAGAAGGGAGTCAAAACCCACAGTGGAGCCCAGACTCAAGGGTAAATTTCTGAGTCCGGTACTGCGCGACCAACCCTGGCTGGCTGAAAGTAGGAGGGGAGGCGCAACGTGTGCCTTGACCGAAATCCCTGCCCCGAAATTGGAGGCTTGGCTGCCAGCATCCCAGTTTGCATTCAGTGCCCGAGATCCCAGAGGAGACCCGAAGCAACTAGCAAGAGCTTCGACATCACCAAATCAGCAGGAAAATCGCGGATGGGAACGAGGGGTTCCCCGGAAGAGACATGTTTTGAATGCGAGTGATGCTTTTTGTGTTTCTTCCTGCTTGCCGACAGAGGGGCCGCAGTGGAGACAGCTCGTTCCAACTGCATCTGATATACCTGGCCTGCCAGGAATGCAATTTGCCCCGACAGTCCTTCGACCAAAGCCCTCATCTCAGAGGCAAACCCGGCGCCGTGCAAGTACGGATCCACAAAGGGACCCTAAACGGGCACCATAGAAGGAAAGACCTCCTGGGGCACAGCCTCGCCGTTGCCGGTAAAATCGGGTAAACCATCGCCTGAAGAAACAGACTGTGAGGATGCCCTCCGGTCAGCGGGGGGAGACCATCGGGCCTCCTACTTGACATCTCAGTACACGGGGCATCGGTAGCCGAGCGTGAGGACTTTCCACTCATGCCAACACACAACTCATTTTAACCAATTTTTACAGGACGTGCGACCTTGCTGTGAAATACGAGCGACGCTCTGGAAAACATCCCAGGCCTCAGAACTCCAGTGAAAACACACGTCTTCAAGGCAAAAACTCCGAACACTGTACGCTCATGGCAAAAATATCATTTCGGATTCGGGTTCTGTTAAATTCTGATTATAACCACTGCACAGTTATCTCGGAAAAAGAGGAGACAAAACCGGCGGCGAGATGTCCTTACATCTATCCATTTCTAAATACATTGGTAAAACATAAAAATGAACACGACATGCATGTGGGAAGCAAAATACAGTTGGAACATGGTTAAATTGCGTCGCCGGGTTTTATTTTCGACATGGGGTAAAAATAATAAGAAAAACTTATCCAGAAACCCGGACAGGAAAAGGCAGAGTCGCTATACTTTATCCTCGTCGGTGTTGAGATAATAAAAGAGTGAATATTAGGGTAAGATGACGTCACCTCATTACCTCGGTCACGTGGTTTGTGACGTATGGGAAAAAAATCTTGGGGTCATGGGGCTTCCCTTGACCTAGATTTTATCTCTCCGTCATTGGCAGAATCGCTGATTAATGCCTTCAGTTCAGTTCGGAGTCTATGGTGGATAAATGAACATAGTGAATTGTACCATATCTTCCAACTTCACTGAGCCTAAGCTACGCAAACTTGACTTAAATTGAAATTGGCTTAAATTCGATTAAATAATAATATAAATTATGAAAATAGTGCGGGTTGTAACTTGGTAGGTCTGTCGTCACTTGGTAGGTGTAAAGTTAAATGGAAGTCGTCACAACGTTAATACCATAATCACACACACACACACACATACACATACACATACAGAAAGACAGACTAAACTGCAAAGACTCCCATTGTGCGCTCCATACACAGGAGTCAAAAATTACATGCTGCAAGGCCAAATACTGCTTTTTGCGAACAAAATCTGTCCATGCCCACTACAAATCATGCTATAGAATGGCAGAAATAGATACAAGTCTGTATTTGAATGCTAAGTGTAATTGATTCAGGAAAATCCCAGGATTAATCTTGAAAACACAATTGGTAACATTTTGAATATGATCATAATGCGCATTACCCCAGACCATTCGTCCCGGTGTTATCGCTATCGCCACACGAGACTCCAGCTTGTCTCCTATACAATTTTCCTTCCGCCCACTTAATTTTAATATTCATATGACCTTTGCACTGACATCGATTCGACCGCGGACGTCACTCTAAATAAACAACTGAATAAATTAATATACCATATTTGGAAGATAGCGGGTAAATTCAACGTTGTTGGTGTGTTCCTTTGGGTTCCGAAGTCGCACGAAACGAGTTCATGTTCCGTTATCTTTCGCAAGTAAA